ATGCCACTTCAAATTCCCAGCCTTACACTCCACTACAGGCTGGCTCGCCATCCTTCCAGGGTGCCTCCTCCACACAACTGAACCTTGGCCTTCCCTACATTCAAGCAAACAACTAGCACAGGCCACCAGTGGCAGGCACCTGTGGCATGTCAGCTCCCCGCTGGACTGTGAGACCAATGTGACACAGGTCACATTGTGACACAGGTTTACTGTTTCCCCTTGAGCATCACGTGAACAAGCCCTGAGCACACGTGCCCCGGACTGTAGCACAAGCTAGAGCAGGACACCAATGCCACAGTCTGCGCCAGGACTGTCCAAGTCCCCAGTGCCCCAGAGATGGGAAAAGCAGGCACAAAGGAAGAGGGAACTTACCTATTGTCAACTGAAAAAAAAAAAAAACCAAAAAGGCACAAAAAATGCATTTTCAGGCAACATGGCCCAAGTGGAGAAAGCAAGAACCAACAGTCGCTTACTAGGGAGACTGTGTGTGGTGACCTTGACTGAGTGACTTGGCGGTGCAGGCCATTCCCCAGGAGGACGAGTGTATGTCATCGACCCCCCCAGATGTCTCAGCCGGGGCAGGGAGTGACTGCAATGGAGAGAGCCCCCCACTGTACTTTTCACCCATCCATAAAGAATTGAGAGCACAAGATCAAGACTGCCAGGTGCAACACCGAGCCCAGCCCAAGGCCAGCACCATCCCGGTTGGAGATGAAGCTTCGTGACAAGTTTGATCATTCTTTCACCGCTGTGCTCCTCACTGAGCACCTACAACCTATGCAGCTGAGTCCTTCAGCCCAGCATCACTCTGATCAGAAATACACTCTAGACTCTGGGAAGCACCGGTCTGCATGACGAGAGCTCAGGTGAGTAGACGACTGTCACTGCGTGTCCACGGCAGCACACCCGCGCCCCCTCACCTGCCCAGGCTGCACCGCTTCGGCGTGTGTCTTGCATTTCCAGTTTCCAAACCTCTCTGTGTGTGTCCTCTCCACACAAATGAGGCCAGGGCCATTCTAGGCCTGTCAGTGGCCACTGAAGACAGTCAGGAGAAAGCGGAAGTGGTGCTGCAAGGCTCGTCTCATTCCACAGCGATGTGTTGCCCATTCGGGCCAGGCCCTGCCCTGGGTGCTGGGATTATAGGAGTGGCCGGAAAGGCCCCTGCCCTCATGGTGCTTACCTTCCAGGGGCCCACCGTGCTCCAGATGATGTGTTCTCTGCCCAGCTACCATGTCTCCCCTGCACGCCTGCCTCAGGCAAGGTTAGGCAGTGGTCTGAACACGCCCTGCAAGAACACACCCCATCACGCTCTCCCCTTGGGCACCTTCCTCCCTTCTGTCTGTCCACTTCCTTTTGGCAGTCCAACTCACACCTAGAATCACACCTCACAAAGCTTTGTCCAGGGCCCTCCCTGGTGGCGCAATGCGTTAAAGCGCAGCCCTATGAGGATAGCCACAGTCGCTTTAGCATGAGTTCGATCCCCAACCTGAGCTGACCCACATGGCGCAGCTGCTCCCTGCTGCTCCCCTCACAGTGTGTTTCAGTAGATCCATCTGTTCTGCTCCCCACTCTGTCTATGATGGATCCTCTCACCCACCCCCCCGCCCCCCGCACCTGGCTTGTATGGCAGTTCTGTATGCACAAATAAATCTTTTTTTAAAAAAGCTTGTCCATGCCCCCACTGGGTCTAGCAACTCTCCCTGCCCTCGCCCTCACCCCCCACACACGTACCACCCCTTCCCCCACCCCCCCACACACACCTCACCTTGGCCCCGAGGAAGGGTTCTTTGTGAAAGGGTTACTGTGAGGCTCTGGCTCGCCCTTGACTAGATGTTATTTTCTCGCTCTTGGTTGACGTTGGTCATTGGAATCCACTCAGACTCACTCCCTCTACCTGGTCTTCACTCGGGTCTCTCACCCCCCCCCCACTCTCCCTCCTCCCTCAATCTCACAAGGCTCTGAGAACAGCAGCCTTGGCCCAGGACCTGGGTCCCTAGGGGCCATTCCCCTGAATTCAGTCTTGGACTGAGAAAGAAGCTGATCCAAGTTGGTCATGGTGGGAGTGAAATCCAGAACATTTCTTAGAGCATCATGGGGGAGACCGCAGGGCCCACAGGTGGCTGAGACCCTTGGGCTGTGGCAGCCAGTGGCAACCACCTGCTTGACCCAGGTCAGGCTACAGACCTGGATGCGCCCCTAAGCCAGGACTGCTTCCTGACAGCCAACACTGCCCCCCAAGGAGGTCTGGGCTGACTCTTCTGTCCTGAAACACCCACTCTGTTATGGGGTAGAGAAGCCGCAGCAGCTACAGTATTTTATGTTGTATCCCACCACACCATTGCAGGCTTTCCTCGGCTTATGTAGAAGTTCCCAGAAAATACCCTTCATTTTGCTGACCAAAACCTAGACTCATTGATAGCTTCATCTAAAGCAATGATTCTGTCCTCCCTAAATTGACTCAACTTTCTGAAGTGCCTGAGCTGTGCGGGCCACAGCTCAGAATTGAAAATGTCAGTTAACTTTAAAAATGGAAATGATTCAAATGTGCCCTGCTACACCCATGCATTAAGGTTTTGTTTGGCAGTGAGGCTGATTTTTAAGTTCCTGAGAGTCACTGAAACTGAAGTAGAAATGTTAGCTCTCTTATTAAGGAGTGAAGCATAGAATTTGCAGCTCTCATGTGGAAAAGAAAGTAAATAATTCAGAAATCATTTCTATAACGTCCTTTTGTTTCTTTTTTTTCATTACTTCAAGGTTGTTGGCACAAAATTAACCAAAGGGAAAGACAATTCCCCTTCTAGCCTGTTATTACTTTATCCACTAGGGCTTATGGGCGTTTCTCTGACCATTGCTCAAGGACGGAAGCTCCAGGATATTCTGTGAATATCACAAATATTTCCCTGCCTGCACACACACACTCACACAGACACTCACATGCACACTGACACAGACACACACACACACAGAGACAAACACAGACACACACAGAGGTATAGACACAGAGAGACACAGACACACACACACAGACAGACACACACAGAGACACAGACACAGAGAGACACAGACACACACACACACACA